ATATAAGTTGTGTGCGCGTGCATAACAGAGTCCCTCCCAAATCGTGCACACTGGGGTAAGGAGGCCTGCCAAAAAAACAGCCCTTAATTCTCTTCCTGGACAAGCCCTCCATCCCAAACTAGCAGGAGTGCTGTGGGGTTGAATGAGATGGGCCCCTCCCTGCCCAGGGGAATCGCAGCTCTGGGATCCCTGTGTGCCCCACACTGAAGGGGTCCCAAAAAATCAAAAACGTAAAAAAAACCCCATAAAACCAGGGCAGCAAATGCGCTTTCAGTTGGGCCTTGCGTTCCCACGTCTGCAGCGGGAGGGTGAACGTTCTGAAACACAAGACGTTAAATTAGAGATTTCCAGCGGCTTCTGGTTTCTGCATTCCCTCCATCTCTGGCTCGCGCGTTCCATAAATAGAGGGCTGGCTAGTGCCGAGCACGTGGGTCTCCTTTAGTCTGATGCCGAGACAATAGCCCCGGGTTGCCAATGGGGTGGGGCCCACGCTGCACTACATTTAAAAGCTGTTTTGCTATAGTCTCTGCCCACACTGTCGGAAGTTGCTGACAGTTCCCCAAAACCTCAGTTCCCTCCTCCTGAACTTCATAAAAGCCGCCTCTGTGGGAAGATCCACTTGCACATGGAGACAGGGGGTTGGAATCCTGGCACAAAAGCACAGGACCCCCACGCTCGAAGACGGAGGTTTTACATCATGGCGCTAGTGCATTGCTGTGTATCCGTCTACGCTTGGAGTGTGACTCTTGGAGGGTGTAAATCCTGCTGTGCTTGGAGGCTGAGAGTGAATCTTGGTGCACGCACCTCGGGACTGGCAGTGGGAATTCTGACACGAGCACACTGGTGCGTTTACCCACTCAGGCCAGCTCAGGAGCGTGACCGCAGCTGGGAAGGAGATGAAGAATACATTATCCCTTTAGAACCAACAGGACATTTAGGGAGGTAATATAAGTGGGGGATGCGGGGGTGGGAATTTGGCTAGGCTGATATTCTGGCTCTTTCAGCCAGGGCCAGGGGATTTTTACTGACCTCAGGGTCTCCCCCAGCGGCCAAGTGGCCCCTCCCACAGTGCTGGGCACCCGGCATGATACTGACACCAGTTCCAGCACTGACCAGTCCAGGATCGGAGCATCCTGACCCTCAGAAGAGCAGATCGCTTTAGTGGTCTCTGCTTCCAGTGTAGGAATCCATCTCCTTTGCTTTCATACATAATTCACTTGGGGCCATGTGGTAAGCTGCTCTTGTGGGGTTGATATAGTCAAAGCTTCTGGTTTTCTGCTTTTATTTGCCAGGGTGGAATTTGTTTTCAGTGGGAGAAAGTCACTTTATGACCTTACTATCATGCCACAGAGCCCCTCTTTGCCCCTGCACCCCCCCCCCCCCAGCTGCCAGTCCTGGCTCTCCCTACCTGGGGGAGCTCAGTAAAGTTGGAGGCTGCTCTTCACTAGGGCTTCCACAAATGCTGCTCTCGGAGGCTTCGATTCTGAATGTCTCCCTGGCCTTTCCTGGCCCTCTACAGCAGTGGTTCTCAACCTGTGGGCCGCTTGCGGCCCAGTCAGCCATAGGTGCCGACTCCGTGGGTGCTTGGGGGCTGGAGCACCCATGGAAAAAAAATTAGTGGGTGCTTAGCACCCACCAGCAGCCAGTTCCCCCCTCCCCCCCAGTGGGGAAGAGGCGAGATGGGGCGGGAAGAGGCAGGGCGGGTTGTGGCCTTGGGGAAAGGGGTGGAGTGGGGGCGGGGTCTGGGGGGGTGTCTAGCACCCCCTGGGTAGAGAGGAAGTTGGTGTCTGTGCAATCAGCACACAGCTGCGGTCCGTGTGACATCCTCAGAGCCATACCGATAGTATATATATTGCGTGGGTGCGGCCCACATAACACAGAGAGAGTTGCATATGCGGCGCACAGTGGGAAATAGGTTGAGAACCACTGCTCTACAGTGTCTGATTTCCAGCCCCTCCAACTTCCTGTCACTCTTGGGTTGGACCAAGGGTCCAACCAGCAATGCAGAGATTAAAGGCCCCTTATCCCATCACTAGTCACTTTCTTAATCCAGCCATTACTACATCTTGATGGTAGATGATGCCCAAGAACCTGCATCAAGGTTCCCTCTAACCTTCCTGCTGTCCATCCTGCATAAGTAGTAGGTGCTGGCAATGACAGAGCAGTGGTGAGGTGAAGATAATCCAGCAAATCCCCTGGGTGCAGAGTCAGAGCCAGAGGGGTATACGTGAGTGAGATGGTGTCAGTGATGTGATCTCA